AGAATTTTTTGTACACCTAATAATTGCCTGGAAGGATTTTGCAATCTGTTAAACCAATAAAAAAATTCTTTGATTCTGTAATATGTCGGTATTCCTGTCACTTTAGGATCCCTCTAAGCGTTATTTAAATTGATTAAATTAGATACAATATAATGTTTTTCGTAGAGGGCGTAGATCGAATACGAGATTGGGAATTAGAATAATAATGATAACTTTATTAAATATAATTTTATTCGGACGTAGTGCAAGTATGCCTGTTATTACAAAAGTAAATATATGATTAGACTGAGAAAAGCAACAACATAAAATCTACCGACGCCGAATATACTAATAGCGAATTGCATATAAAGATGGGCACAAGGTATTTAATTAAATTTTTATGGGAGTTTGAACGAGGAACCAACGAATGTCGATTCTCCTGGTCCTCCGGAGCAGTGTGTTCGATTTCAATCGATTTCAATTTAACTTACGGTGGGAGATGGAGTGCTACGTCGACAGCAGTCCTGATCTTGCCAATTCGTACCAAACCTCTCCGTTTGGTCCAACCAGATCCAGATCGTCCGTGCTTGCCTTTTACAGTCTCTCGCTTACGGCCTTTTCGCGATCGCCAATGTCACTTTCCTTTACAAGGTGGTTTACAAGATACTCCGGTGTCTTCGAATGGTTTCTTTGACCACGGGTCGGCAAGTGGATACTACTCGCGGGCGTCCAATGCCCGCGCAACAGTTGAGCGCGCTAGGGCTAGCGTTAGGCCGCTAGGTGCAATAAAGGAAGGAGAAGGAATAGTAGAAACGTCTATTCATTGAACATGTTGTTCAAGGAGTCAAAAGATATTGTGTCGCACAAATTCAGACCCAGAATTAGCATAAAATAATAATTATCTATATTTTAAATAAACATTTCTTACAATATTAAATAAACAATTTTTATAACATTTAATTAGTATTTGATTCATAGTTTTTCGATATTATATATAATATATCAGATATGTTATTGTTTTGGCACAACTGTTCGCGTAATCGCGATTTATTTAATTTCATAATAGAAAATAATTATTTATATGAATATGTAGAACCGAATATACTCATTATACTATATTCATTATTACTTATTATTATTATTTTGATTATCCATCACAAACATTAAATTACAAGATCGCAAATGTGTCTGACTGTTCTAGACAAGAGTAAAATTTGATTATATTTTATTTTATTAATATTGATTTACTTAGTTACTGTTTTTTTTATTTTAAGCGTTTAACAGATTGATATTTAGCAGATGTTTATTTTGAAACTATTGGAAATTTTCTTCACGGAAAAAGAACTATTCTTCTGAATTTAAAAATATAATTTCAAAGCGCTAATTTCTGTTAAACGTGATATATGTATTCATAATTTTATGATTGTATTATAAGTTTATATTTTAATACATTATTATTGTTTATATTATTGTTTTATCTCTTTGTCATATTTAAATTTTCGTTAAACATATTTAAGTGTAATAATTATATTACACAATTTTTAATGAATTGTAATGCTAAAGCACAAATTTTGACAACTTACAATATTTAAAAATAGAAAAATTTTAATTAAAATAAGCATTTTAATTAAAATTTTCCTATAATGAATGCTTATTATTAGGACAATCAAAACATGCTAGGGCACATTTCTTTATTTGACTTAATAAAAAAATTAACTAAATATAAGTTGAATTTATAAGAACTTATGCATTTTGAGTCCTATATATTATAGCATATTATAACATTTTTGCATATTTCATCTTTAAACGATTTAGCTAAACTGTTATAAAAAAATTTTATGATATTACAAAGATTCGAGTACTAGTAATTTAAGACTGCATTATCGTTCATATATACATGCAACACTATTTTTGTAAATGTGAAATGCGAAACTTTATCCCAAGGTACAAAAAATATTAGATACATTCTTGAAATATGCACATAGGCGGGCACCCGTGTCCAATGTTTTGCCGACCTTTGCATTAGACCATTGAGGCTATCATAATATTTATCGCAATCTTTAAATAAATAATGAGAAGAACATCTTTTTCAAGCGTGAGAATAAACAACCAGAGAACATTATGACGTCTTAAAGACGTTTAAAAGACGTCTTAAATATTATAAGACATCTTATTAAATTATAAAAAAGGTGTCTTTAAGGCGTCTTATGATTCGATTTATGATGGTCTTTGATTTGTCTTAAAGATATCTTATTTTTCAATAAATGATATTTTTTTAGACATTCTTCAGACGTCTTATTTGGAGTCGTTTGAACCTTCTATAATGACATAAAAATTAATTATACGGAAAGTATTGACAAGAGGAAGAATACGAGACAGAATTTGAAATTACTTAATAAATTGGTACATTGATATCAGGAGACACGGTAGTGTCTCGGGAGTCAACCGAGAACACTACCGTGTGACTTTAATAATTACACAACTTTGATAACGATCTATCTATTATAATCAGAAATCAATTTTGTCTATTAAAAATGTCGTGTAAATTTTAAATCATTGATATACCGATTTATCAAGTATTTCTAGCTTCTATCTCGTATTCTCCCTCTTGTCAATACGTTTCCGAATAGCTTCATCTTAATTGCGTTGTTGTATTTATTATAATAATATAAAATATTGGAGTACTAGATAAACTGACTGTCAATATTTTTATAGGTTACATTATATTGAAATTGTCATATCATTTATTCCAATCAATAAATATGTAGTCGCTTCGATAAATCGATAATGTAAATAACCATGTTTGAAACTGTCATTTAGAACTTTTAGAGGTTATATTGATGACAGATTGAGGTTACGGAACATATCTTAGAAAAGATATCTTTAAGACGTCAAAAAGACATCTTTCTGATATAGTCTTAAAAACGTCTTTAAAAGGATATCTTTAAGACATCTTTCTCAAGACGTCTTTAAGACATCTGTCTAAAAGACATGTCTAAAAGACATATTTATGACGTCTTTAGTAAAGTCTTAAAGACGTCTTTTAGACATCTTTTAGACATGCGTGCTGTCTGGGAATACATTAATATAAATCGAATACATGTTAATAAAAAAATTTTGCATATATATTTCCTATAAGAGGATAATAAAAAGGATTTTTTATTGATATTAAAATATTTAATTATCGAATTGATGTATAACCGCTACGTTGTAAGTCTACTAAAAAAGTGGCACGTGATTGGTGATATAATTATTTGAATTTATTTTACATAGAAATTTAGCACCTAAGATCCTTCTTGCTAAGGAATTGACTATAATTTTTTCAGTTTTGTTTAGAAAAAAAGGTTATAAAATACTGGGGCAACTTCCAAATTTCTAGCGCAGTACTTAACTTCATTGCGTCATGCTGACATTTAGCAAATGTTTTATTGCAGTGGTTAATGAAGCGTTTAAATCGCAATTTTTCGTTAATAGTTGAGAAGTGCATCGTCTCCAAATAATATTTGTTATTTCTATATCAATATTACCATCTACTAAAAGTTTGACAAAATCGGTCATTTGAAGAGCGGAAATTTCTCTTGTAAGGTGCTTTGCATTCTATCTTTCCATTTTAAATTGGCCTTTTTCTAACAGTCAAAATCAGATTCGAATTTATCGAATCATGGGGGATACTGAGATCGCTGAAGAATCTCTCTCATCTGGTATCATTTATATCAAACTGGCCGAGTTTTCGAAAAATTCAGTAAAGATCAGTATTGGATTCGGTTAATATTAGTGCTTTCCTTCATGTTAGTAAAAATTGAAACTTTCGATGTGTCATTTTATGAACACGATATAAAATATAAAACGGTGGTCGGAGTGAAAGGATAGGTCAAGGAACGGAATTTATAGAACGGACAGATTTAGACACGAGAAAGAAGCGAGAATGAAAAGACGCATTGACAGCTCACTGTTGTGTATTGCGAGGCAAATCCATAACAATGGAAACATTTCCTGTTCCACGACCATTTTTTGCATTGAATATTTTCGATGTAAGTGCTTGGAAAAATTTTTGCCGTATGATGTACCGGTTTTACGAGTGGTATGCGTAATTTCCTTAGCGCTCATCTCGACGAATAGTCAGTCGAAGCGCATCGTTACAACTTTAAAAATATTTTGAGTGACATGGAGTTTCTTTGGTAATTTTATATTTTATAAAAGTATAAGGCATAACGTTGTCGGGAACTAATTAATGTTATTGTTGTGTTTCAGGTACTTCTCAATGTTCCTCCTGCGCATACATTTGGCATCAGACACTCGCCGTATATTTGTAACTTGAAGGACGCAATTTATTAATTCATCAATGAACCCGAATTTAGTAATTCGATAATTAAAACATTTTATTATTACATAATGTGCTTTATTAACGAATTTTGATAATAATCCAGCCTCATATTTTTTTCTCTTTATTCTTTGTTTTATTAATTGATATTATTAATTCTTTAAAGGACTATTAACAGAATAAATAAATATCATATTATAATATATATCATATTTATAAATTATTATGTGCTAATATAAAAAAATTTTAATGTTTTTAATGACTTGATTTATGACGATTTTGAGACATTTAAAAACATCTTGTTTGAGATTACTTTTAGATAAAATAAAAATGAATTACACAAAAACACATTAACAAGGAAAAGACGAGACATGAATTAGCATTGCTAAATAAATTAATATATTAATTATTTAGTATTTATCTAACTTTGTTAATCTATTTGTATCTCTTCTGTTAGGCCTGTCCAACACTCGGCTCGTAAGCTAAACGCTTCCTCCTTTCCATCATCTTATTCAAAGAACTAGAAAGAAAGCAAAGAATAGACGCTCGAATTTCTCCAAGTTCAATCTCGATTGAGAGAGGAAAGCATTTAACTCACGAGTCAAGTGTTAGACAAGCTTATCTTATATGTATATTGCAATATCTAAAAAATATTATAACATCTTCAAGATGTCTAAAAAAGACATCATAAAAATTATTAAAACATTTTATGAAGATATTAGAAAGCTGTTTTTATAAAAATATATTGATGATTAAGTACGTCATTATAATTATATGATTACTTATATTTAATATGTCTTGTGATCAGTTAATGATGTTTATTTAATACCTTATATAAGATTATATTTAAACATTTCATAATAATATAAAATTTAATTTTATGGAAACATTTAACAAGAATAAAAGTACGAGAAAAGTTACTGTTGTATTTGAAATATATTGGTTGATATATTGATAATTTAATTAAAATAAAAGAAAATAGGGCTCTGGAAATTGCGCGGTAAACAGTGCGCAGATTGATTGAAATTATTTTTTTTATTCTTCTCAATTCTCCATACATTTTAGCTCTAACAATTGAGCCATCCTCAATGATATCTTTGATAATAGCAAGGCCGAACTCCATCGTGGTACATCAAATTGTATGTCGCCCATCTCGGTTATCTTATTGTGTGAGGGAACAATTTAAACATATCTCTACATAGTAACACAATCCAAAATTTTCTATTTTCTCTGTTCCAAGAAAAATCGTGATTATATTCTAATCTGCGATCCATAATCACCGATTTGGTGTCTATTCCTACGAATATGATTGCGATACTTACTCATTCTTATCTTTAATTGTCTCTTGGTTTGTCCGACGTAACATTTATTACAATTATTGCAATCAATTTTATATACAACATTTTTTTGTGAATCTAATGGAGTTTATCTTTATGTGCCCGTACGAGAGTAGTCTAAAAAGTTTTGAGCCTTAACATGAAGATGATGTTACTCGTCAAAACCATTCTAGTACTACAATAGTATATGCTTTTGTGAAAATTTCAGCCATTTTGGACTCAGTCTGTTGTTTGATAGTCGTTTGTGTCAGTCGATGTATCAGTGTTTTTGTAAAAATGGAAAACATTGAATATCGTGCCGTGATTAAATTCTTATTTGAAAGGCAATACGCCTGCGCAAATTAAAATCGAGTTGGACGTTGTTTACGGGGACTCTGCCCCATCATTTTCCACCGTAAAAAGATGGGCAACTGAATTTAAACGTGGTCGTACCAGTTTGGCTGATGATGAGCGTTCGGGACGGCCAAAAACTGCGATCACCGCTGATAACATCGAAAATGTTCACCAAATGGTATTGGACGACCGTCGAATCAAGGGTAGAGAGATAGCAGAGGCTATGGGAGGCTATCGAAAGAATGCGTTTGTCATATATTGACTGAAGAATTGGATATGCGCAAGCTATCCGCGCTTGCTCACTTTGGACCAAAAACGAATTCGAATGAACATTTCCAAGGCCCTGTTGGAGCGGTTCAAGCCAAATGAGTCAGATTTTTTGCGTCGATTCATAACTGTAGATGAAACTTGGATCCACCACTACATTCCAGAGACAAAAGAACAGTCAAAACAGTGGACTACAAAGGGTGAACCTGCTCCGAAAAAGGTGAAGACGGTTCCATCAGCTGGGAAGGTAATGGCGACTGTTTTTTGGGATAGTCACGGAATTGTGTGTATCAACTATCTTGAAAAAGGTAAACAATAACGGGAGCGTATTACGCATCATTACTTGATAAGCTGAAGGCAAAAATTGCAAAAAAACGGCCGCATTTGAAGAAGAAGAAAGTGCTGTTCTATCAAGACAACGCACTTGCTCACACTTCGGCGGTCGCCATGGCTAAAATTCACGAACGGCACTTCGAATTGATTGACCACCCACCGTATTCACCAGATCTGGCCCCCAGCGACTTTTTCCTGTTTCTTAAGCTTAAAGTTTCTTGGAGGACAGAGATTTTCATCGAGGAGGTCATCGCATACGTAAAGGCCTATTTTGGGGAACAAGACAACTACTACTTGGAGGGGTTAAAGAGGTTATAGTATCGATGGGAAAAGTGTATCGACTTACAAGAAGATTATGTTGAAAAATAAAACTATATTTGACCGAAAAAATATTTGTTTCTATGTTAGGTTCAAAATTTTTCAGACTATCCTCGTATAAACTCATTCAATTTATTGATACTGAAGTAGGCTAATTTGATATCCAAATCATTAGTTATAATTTTGAATTTTTCCATTGTCTACGGGTTAAAAGGTATTGCAAACTATTTGGTTTTTGTTATTGTCGACTTCATTACTTTCATCTATAGAACCATAAGAGCCCCATTCCTCATCCCCATCCCCCATCCCCAGAGCCCTATTTCTTTTACTTTAATTATTGTTATACCCGAATGTATATAGGTTATTAAAAAAGTAAATGCTATGAATTTGAATGATAAAAGAAGGCATCTATGCAAGCATTTTAAATAAAGATATTATGGATCGGCATCGCTGATTATGACATGATAGGCATTAACTGAATCATTACAATGTTTACAATGCAAACAATGCCAGCTCATTCGTTTGCTTACCTCTTAATCATCAGTTAGATATTTTCACAAGGAATGTTCAAAATTATGACTACAATATTCTGACAAAAGTCATAACGGTGAAGCATGACTGTCGCGCTCTTTCGAATATTGTAACGTGCGAGACGCGACGCAATGTTAAGGAATCAAGTCCAAAAGTAAACTGTCTTGTGATTGAATTTTTATTGAAGTCAACGATATACTTGACGAGTATTGAGATGTATGTTCTTCGAGTTTTGGACGAAAACTGAACTGAAGGGGCAAGACGGATCTTTATTCAAGCTGAAATAGGCGATATTTTCATTAATATAATGACCAATAACACAACGCATCTGGTGCAAAATATGGTCATAAGAACGGTTCTCTGAGAAGAAAATAACGTGAGAATTGTAAAACGTATCGTTATGTATTGCGATGATTTGTTTAGATAGGACTAGTAATAAACCCCGTAATCGGTTAGGAAGAAAATATTTGTTTGCATCTTATTTGTTAAGAGAAAAAGGAAAAGTCGCTTAAGGCTATTTTAGTATCAGAACATTTAAAAATTTATCCGATAAAAAGAGTAAAAAAAAGATTTCTCGAATTCCGAATTGTGGTATGTAACAATATTCGATCTTGCAAGCACTTCGAAAAGTGAACAAACAAATAGGTTGTTTGCATTGCAGGCATTGTAACCATGAACCTATATTCTTACGTTTATGGTTATGATTCAATTAACCATCCTATAACCAAGTATCATCGATTCATAATTTCTTCACTTAAATTACTTACATTAATATTGCTTTTTTTTTACTCAAAACTAATGGCAATTAGTTCTTTAATCAATTTACAGAATATCCGTAATATTTTAGGATGAGATGTTTCAAAAAATATGTTTCAAAAAAAATTGTTTTTAAATAAAAATAATAGCATCAAAGAAGTTACATGGTTGTCACATTGATTTATTTGCATATGATGCCACTATCGATTTTTTTTATAAATACTATTTCTTTAAATGATATATATTTTTATTATATGATATTGTTGCGGATGACGCAACCGATATTTAGCAAGATGTCACTGCATATTGCCATCATGATCAGTCAAAATCCCAAGGATTTTGGTTAACTCGAGATTTATAAAATATAATATCAAAATAAAGTTAAGTAATGGGACAATGCACGCCTTTGCCGATTGCAACGAACCGATGTGCAAGGACGCTGACTCCGATAATCGTGTCAAAACGCTGACATACTAAATAACATTTCGACACGAGGACGCGTCGAGGCCGCGTACCAACGAACTAATAGTTCCGACGCGTAGACGTAAAGAAAATATTACAGTGCGTGACAGTCAAGTTTGTGGGTGATTCGGAAATAACAAACACTAAATTAAATAATAAAGCTCGTTTATTCTGTAAACCAAGTGTAAAGTTAATAGTCCCCTTCCTCCTCTTCCGTCACTTTCCCTAGTTGTGCTCGGAGCGGCACAACAAATTGCTGGCAACAGTGGGATTCGTAATGCCGGAACTGGAAGAAGAAACAGCCATCATATCCTTCTGTAGACGTGGTATTTTGAAAAAAAGAGTACACACAAAAATTAGGACAAGCCACGCCATCCGGTAGAGCAGCCAGCGAGCATATCAACGACATCGAAGAAGGTGTCAACCTACAACGCAACAAGCAAGCAAACGCTATGTCAACAACATGCGACCGTAATGTAAGTTATAAAGCATAAGGCGAGCGGACTAGAAATTAAGGAAAGTGATAAAATAGATGTCGAACGAAGACATCAATCGAACTCTCATTGATAGAAACACGTAGTTATATAGTAATTCAGGCCGCCATGCATTTAGTCTGAGTCCCGCGCAGGCGGAAAATATACGCGATAACGTGCGTCGTAATCTAAACGAATACTATTCCAATGATAGCTTGGAGAATCCCAGAGCTACATCCAAACATGTAATCGAGCGCGAGTTTTCATTTAACGACATAGATAGTAAATATTACTGAGTAACGAGAGACGCGACGACAATCTATTGTACCTGATAGATACAAGATCTGACACAAATAACTCCAGTCTCGGAGAATTTTCACTGACTTCCTACGAGAGCAGCGATATTCGATCCGACCGAATTCTATACCGCTTCGCGAAACGCAAATCAGGAAACAATGACAAATCAGCTGTCAGGTCATTAAGACCGATCGCAGAAAAACGGCGAATAACAAGCAAAGAGTTAGAGGAAGTAAGGCAAATGAGAACTCTAAATCAGTCACACTGGAAAATTGATTCAGAATCTTTGCGCGACACGCGAGACATAATGTTGACCGAAATATTAGAGGGTATGCGAGTGTTACAGAGCCATATGAGTCAATTAGAAATTACAATCAGAATGCTGACGCTAAAAATGACGAACTGATAGAGATATACATACGATGAACATCCGAAATTCGCGAGATCCCGTAAATGCATACATGAAAAGAAGTCCGCGGTATGATTCCGGAATTTAACGGAGCACAAGTTGCCAGAATTCCTAAGTGCGGCATCGTATGCAATGAAAAACACAAATCCAAAGGAGAAAAGTACGCTACTGGAAGCGGTATTGTGTACAAAATTAAAAGGAAGGGTCATGACCGATTTCTAAACGCGAGATATATGCGACTTTGCGCAATTGAAACGAGAATTGGAAGTGTGCTATCTCAGCAAAAAAGTATCATACATTTGCAGTTGGAATACATTGCAACAAAAAGGGAGAATTGGCAAGAGCATTTCGATTATGCACAGCGTTGTACCCCGGATGGGCTACAACGATAATATTAGAGATAATCGGGTTCGTTAAGCCTAAGGAGTTGAGACTCCGAGCAGGATTAAAAGAATGGAAGGAAATCTTCTTGAAATCACTAACACACTTTCTTTATTTTTACTGGTTTATTTAATAATTGCACACTTTCTTGGATTTAGTATTGCTTATTTTATTTCTTTCACACACGGTTAAACGTCGGCGGGCGGCTCGGCGCGTATCGCGTTACTCTGGCGGCCGACGACCGAATATGTCACCTGAGACGCTGATAGTACGGCTCGCATGAACTTCGCCGCGCTCTTGTAATATCTTGCGCGATAATTATAATAACGATTCCGAACGACACGTTATTCTTTACTTTTGACTTTTGACTCTCGATTCTCTCGATTCCGCCTTGTGTAACCGGTTATATAGTCTGATCGATGCCCGATCAGCATTCTGATCGATTGCGTCGATCGGTTGCGTGTTATTGATTAATCAATATTACGCTCGGTTTGATCATCAAATTTAGGAATTTGCTGATAGGCTTTTTCGCAATGTTCTCGCGTGATGCATTTCTGCGGTCTTTCGAAAGACTGGTCGCAATTTCGGCGGTCACACATTTGTGTCGTCTTTCGAAAGACTTTTCGAGATTCATGCGACCTAATTTTGTTGCCATGCGGACTACTTTTATTATTGGTTATTATTTTATTATTGGTTGTAGATCTGGCTACAATAACAGATAAATTAGCCTTGGAATTATACGAATCCATGATCGAAGGACGACAAAGCACAACAGAATCAAAAAGAGCGATCTTAGAAAACCATACAACAACAGGCCCTGTATAATTTCCAAATAGGACTACAAAACAACATAAAATTGTTAGTTCGCAACATTACACAACATTACAAGACGCCATAGCCAGCGCGAGCGCGGAAGAAAAATTTAAGGAACTAATAGGGAATTTCGGGTGCCTCGAAAGCAAGTATACCCCACCCACTCACTTGCGAAAATAAATTGTCGCAATGTCATAAATGCGGAAAGACAGGACACTATAGCCGAAATTGCCGAACAAATAAATTTATCGGACTCTCCCTATCAGCCAGATAGACAGCCGCGTATGCTTGATGCAATCTCTCCTGTCGTGCTCCAGGAGGATTATTTGTATATTTGCCAATGGCATTGGAGGGTGTCGCCGCTGCAGTCCGACCTGCATCCATCGAGAGAATAGGACCATCATCTCTCTGGAGTACCGGTCGTGGGGATTCGAAAGAATACATGTATATATGTATATTGTAATATATATATATATATATATATGTATCATTGTATTGTTAACGTGTTATTCTAAACGTTATTTGTGATAAATATCATCACATGCCTCGGTAGTCGAAAGGATAAGATGCCTGCCCGGTAAGCAGGAAATCCAGATTCGATTCCTGGCTGAGGTGGTATTTTTTCGCAAAATAATTACGAGTTTTCACGACTGGTTCGTGGTCGGGCCCCGCCGTGACGCACACCCTCCCTTTTTATTAAATACTGCACGCATTGCAAAAAAGCAGGACGTAACCGTGCAGAATGCTGGATACTTTGCTGTAAAAACAAAAAGAGATCATTCGCCAAACTAAAAACAATAATTCAAATAAAACACGAATAAATACAATGGTAAAAACGAGACAAGATAAGCCGCGGAAAGAGAGCACTGACTCAGCGTCAAGTAGCAGTGAAGTGAGACTGAAGGCCAGGGCTACGCGCGCAGTCGGAAAGTATTAAATAACACAAGTAACGCGAAGAGAGGCGCGCAATGGGCTAGAATTGATAACATTGCCAATAAAAGAGATGAAAAAGGGAAAGCAACTTTTCTCTTAGACCTTACCTTAGTGCTACCCGCACCTTGATGAAAGTCGGAAATTTCAAAAGCAAAACTCCAGTATGTGAGAAACGCATTGCGTTAACCTGCGTGACGGAACATAAGATCCACACGCTAGGAAAAGTAAAACTGAAAAGTGATAAAACCAAGAGATTCGTCACTTAGTATACGTGGTCAGAGACGATTTCCTCATGGATTACAAGGGAATACTCGGAATTGATTTCTTAACCAAACAAAAAACAAGATGCGACCACGGGAAAAAGATATTAAATATCAGTAATATAAATCTCAAACTCTAATCGTATCAAAAAGTACTGCTAAAATCGCGTAGCGAAACAATCGAAGCAGTTATTAACAAGAATCAGGTAGGAATAATAAGACTAGAACAACCGAAGTCAGGAGTATTTATCGAATACTTTCTCGCAGATCCCAAGGAATTCATCTACGCGATAAGCATAATAAATACAATCGAAGAGCCCATAGAAATAAGCATACCGATAGTAAATTTAGAAGAAATAAGGACGAAGAACGCCGAAATATTAAACACGGTGAAAAAAAACACTGAGACCATGGCGACAGAAGAAAATGAGTGCGGAAATAATTGCGCATAGATCACTTAAACACCGAAAAAAAACATTAGATATGTAACGATTATTGTGATATATTTCATTTAGAAGGTGACTCATTCTTACACACGATCGCGGTGCAACATGAGATCACCATGCGCGCGGATCAATATTCGACCGTACCGTCAGCCTGAGAAACACAAGGCGGAAGTAAAAAAGCAAATCAAGAAAATGCTCGAGGAAAAATTATTCGCTCGAATATAAGTCAATGGAATGCTCCTATATTAGTCGTTCCAAAGAAAGCCGATGCATCTGGAGAACCTAAATTACGCATTGTCATAGACTTGCGAAAATTGAATAATTTAACGATGGACTCGTTTCTTTTGTCAAATAGTACGGATATTCTAGATCAACTGGGAAACGCAAAATATTTCTTGACGCTAGATCTCGCGTCGGGTTACCATCAAATGGCACGAAAAAGATAAAAGCAAAACGGCTTTCTTCATATCATACGGGTATTGCAAGTTTAATCGGATGCCCTTCTATTTAAAAAATGCATCTGCCACGTTCCAATATCTAATAAACTCAGTGCTAGCGAGAATACAGAGTATAAGATGCTTCATATACTTAGACGACATCGTCATCTATGGACCAAACTTAAAGGAACATAATAAAAGATTAATTGAGGTATTCCAGAAATTAAGAAACTAAAATCTGAAATTACAACCAAACAAGTCTTCCTAAGAAAGGAAGTGACATATTTAGGTCACATTATTTCTGAACACAACATACTTCCGGATCCATTGAAAATAACGGCCGCAACAAACTTTCCAGTATCCAAAAAAGTAAAGACGTGCAATCCTTCATAGGATTAGCCGGGTACTACAGGAGATTCATTGAAAATTTTTCGAAGATAGCCAAGCCACTGACAAAATTATCAAGAAAAGACGAAAAATTTAATTGGACGGCAGAACAAACACATTCGAAATTCTAAAAGAAAGATTAATGACCGCGCCAGTATTAAGTTATCCTGATTTTACAAAACAATTTATATTAACAACAGACGTATCCGGTTACGCCATTGGAGCAGTATTGTCGCAAGGGCCAGTGGGCCAAGATCAATTGTTTACGCGAGCAGAATTTTTAATAAGACGGAACAAAACTATAACAGGACGGAAAAATAATTGCTAGCTAGTATGGGCCGTCAAACACTTTCGAGCGTATTTGTACGGAACAAAATTTCAGATAGTTACGGATCACAAGCCACTGATCTGATTATTTAGTATAACAGATCTCCGCTCGCGATTAATCAGATGTAGACTCAAATTAGAAGAGTACGATTATGAGATGATACACAAGGCCGGCAAAGACAATACAAATGCTGACGCGTTCAACAGAAATCCGATTAAGCCTGACACGCGGATAAATAGTATCGAGCGTGACAAGGAAGAGCACGAATACAGCAAAGAAGAAAAGAAACAAATACCATAATACTCTCCTTGGAGGACATCAAGGCGTAACACACACGATAAACCGAATAAGATTAATACATAACTGGCACGGATTAATGAAAGACATGGAGGAATACATCGCCAAGTGCAAGTATTGTCAGAAAAACAAACTAAGCGGAAAAACCAAGATGCCCTTAATACTGACAGAAATGGCAGAGAGACTGTTCGAAAAATGCGCCCTGGATATCGTGGGACCACTCACGGTTACCACAAAGACATAAGTACCTGTTAACATTTCAAAATGACTTAACAAAATTCAGTAAGGTGGTATCAATACTAGATCAAGAAGCAAATACAATTGCCAAAGAGTTTACTACGAAAATCATTTGCGAATTTAGAATACCGAGAAAAATATTGACAGATCAAGGAACGAACTTCGTCAGTAAAATGTTCAAGAAATGTTCAAGAATGTATGCACCTTTTTAAAAATAACAAAAATTCAAACTACCGCATACCAGAAAGTAATGGGGCCCTGGAAAAATCGCACAGCACTCTAGCCAAATAGTTAAGACATTACATAGATAAAGATTAAACTAATTGGGATGAATGGATCCCGTACATAATGTTCACATATAATACGACACCGCATACAGCAACGGGCACACACCCTTCGAATTGATGTACAGGCACCGAGCAATCCTACCTATAGCATTGACGACACCATCAAAACCGCATTATACGTATGATAACTATGTGCTGAAGAAGCGATTCACATAAAAACTGAAGAAGCGATTCACATAAAAGTTGGCGAAGAAACATATCCGTGAGACAAAAAAAAAGGCCAAAAGGCAAAAAATTATGCCGACAAAAAGACAAATACTAAAACCTTCAAGGGGAGATAAAGTCCTTCTGCACGACGAAACAGTGCGAAGAGGACAATCAAAAAAATTAGAAGCCTCATGAGTAGGCCCTTACCAAGTGATAGAAAACATTTCGGATGCTAACAATAAAATTAAACAAAAACGCAAACTCGTGACCGTACATGCAAACCGACTCAAACTATTTATCGAAAACTAAAAAACGGACAAGCACGACCGAATATCGTAAAGAAAATTAGAGGAAGCGTAGAAAAGAAAATATAATAGGGTTAGTAAACAAAAAGAACGCGATAAAATTGAGCACGTATCAGTTGCGACGACGCATCGCATGCACAATTCCGCCCCGTCGTGGCACAAAACCAGGGTCGCGGGGGTAATGCTCCTCAATCCAAGTACTTGCAGACTTTCTTTACGCGATTTGCTGCACTGTCAGCACCTAAGACACACGAATAACATACAACGAGAGTATTATTGATTATAGATTAAACCGTTTATAGATTAAACACCACATATCGAGACTTAACTTTACATAAAACGCAATGGAATCCAGTCATAGTCAACGACGACTGACTTAAATAAATTATTATGCACTCCACATGATAAAATGCATGGATAAGATTCATCGAAAAGCAATCTGAATCCCGATGCTCCTTGCAAGACGCTCCTCATGCAGAAATGAGGAATGTAGATGACACCCGATTTCCAGCGAACGGACGGCAAAGAACTGATTCGTTTCGAGGAATTTATTCCAAGATTATAATAAAGTGTATTACATGCACATGCAAAGAAAAAGGAAAGAGAAAAAAAGGAAGAAAAAAAATATAAAAGCAATACATGCAAAATAAAAAATATACGCTTACCTTAGCATTACGGCGGTAATACCTTCACATGTCGCACCCCAGTAGTGTCACAGATGATGATCAAAATCCGATCCAGCAGAATTCGTCTAGTAATCCATGGCTTCCGCTTGGAAGTACGCACGTCTCGTCCTGTAGAATACACGTTCCGACCACCGCTCACATCATATGCACGCAATCGTAGCGTGACCTGGAGCCAATAAACGCGATCGTACGACGCGCAAAGTCGGTGTATAAAACCGAATACACACGATACAACACATACAGAACATGATGACTAATAACGAATAATTCGGCGCGAAAGCTGCTGATGAACTAGCGTACGCCAAGCAGCATAAAAATTAAAATAGAATAAAAGTCCGTTCAAGGAAATGTAATATGAATCTCAATCTTGCAGGGCACTAGCCATACAATAACATTTCTACAGCGCCGAAGCTGACTCTGCATCGCCGTATGTAGTGCAGAAATTCTACAATACGCCAGGAATATATTTTGAAAAGATTGAGTCAATGAACCAGGTATAGACGACTTGGAAATTAGTAATCAAACTGGATGTAAACATTGAAAAAAAGAACGCAGCAAATAGAAAACTACCTAAAGCAAACGAATGAAAGATGCAAGAGCATCATAAGCCCCGTCTAATTCATGTGCAGAAATATAATGCAAATAATGCAAAAGACAACGTAAAGCTAACATTATTATTAATGCAACTAAAAATTATATATTACGTTAATAAGTGAGGATAAATAAACGCAATCGGTACGATAAGTAAGACATTATTCACCATAGATGCCGAAGACAAACATCTTAACAAGCAGATACAATTACTGCAAGAAAACCGGCAAATCTTGTAACAAGCAACAAAAAAACCAAATAAAAATTATTAACGTCACAGTAGGCCGCGTTAGAAAAGACCATTAGCTATAACAAAAATAGATTACAAAACGTTATCGTACAGATTACAGTTAGTAAAATACACTCAAAGAGAAGACATGGTCAAATTTACTAATACTACGGACGATAATGACAGATTTTATAAGAGACATGAAAATACAATCGACTACTCGTCGTTAACAAAAGATGGAGTAATGCAAACACGACTACTATCGTTAGAAAAAAAATTATAATAGAGCTGCGAGAAGCAGCAACATAATTAATTGAAGGCTTACATTTTCCGTTTAAAATATGGGTGGAAAATTGGCGTATCATTTAAAAATATATAATTATAAGCGCGTATTTTAACAAACCAGATACCTACATGATTATTCGTTTTCCGATAGTCGCGTTTCCGACATTTAAATTGATAAAAACTATATCATTACCGATATGCAATTACGAAAGTACCTTCACATTTATAAAAATTTATTACCCGTTAGTAGCGACAGATAAGGAAAATCACCACTACATATTATCAGACGAAAGCGAACTACAAATCTCGTTCATATGTATACAAGACAGGCAAATATATACATATGAACGAGATTTTCCTATCATATTAACACGAACGCATCATGTGAAGTGCAACTCTATTTAAACGCGCCGGGTCAACTCAAAAACTGCAAACAGCGATGCACAACATCTAACACACTTTTGTGGGTAACAGAATCACAAGAGTGGCTATATTCGATGATAACAAATCAAAACATAAATATCCAGTACGACGAGTCATCGGAATAACAATTAGAGTTAAGCGATGCAAGAAAAATAAAGATTAACGAAAAATGTAAACTAACAATGCCCGAAGTAAGATTAGTCACGCAGCGACAACTATTAACAAAATATACACAGGCGCAATTAGCGGATTTCAATTTAATATTCACGGCGCATGACGTGCGTGCGTGCGTGCGTGCGTGCGTGCGGGCGTGCGGGTGGGCGGACGTGCGGGCGGGTGGGCGTGCCTGCGTGTGTACAACTGAATAACTAAATTTTTGATAAATGCCATATATCGGCAGTTGCGATTCAACCAATAATTTTCAACTAATAGTCCCCGAGAAATAATTATTAAGTATTGATCTGTTCTTTATAGCTGACTGCACTAATTCACAGTGAGCGCAACCAAAGCGTAACTATTCCGAGCGGTTAATCTACGTTAATTAAAGATTGAATGGCTTGGTTCGGATTTTCAGTTTGATAGCAAGATTTCAATTGTTGCAGAATCATACACTCTGCTACCGTAATCTATCACAGACTCATCCGGATATTGCGTTATTTTAAAAAATTCTCCATGCAATTGTGACGTAGAATGGACAGGTGCAAATCGTGTTTTTAAGACAGCCAATAAGGATTCTATATTATTATATTCTTCGCTTAAGGCCACTCTCAGTGCTGGTCCGACTAATTTATTTTTAATCATTTGAACTAATCCGTATTTCGTGCTCGGAGAGATCATATTTCGTGCTGTGATATGTAGATAGCTATTAGCAAATTGCAATACAGACATATTCTTATTATCGAACGGGAGAATTGTCTCGGAGGCACTGCGTAAACTGGCATATGGCATATTCACATTCGCAGTCCTACGATTAGTATTAACGTCCTCGTATACCGCCTATCTGACGAGTCAAAGCGTTTATTTCCTGGTCAACTATTTTTTTATAATGTAATTACAACAATTTATGACGAACTATTACAGATATCAAATGATTTTAAATCTTGTTGCAATTGTAAGTGATAAATTTTGACTTACATGTAAGTCGCAGTAAAGAAAAACAAGACCATCCTACGCAATTCCATAATAGTTTTGGAAGTTCTGATCGTAGTTCAATCCCCCGCTATTACTTGCTTTGAAAATCTCTTCTTTAATTCTTCATGATAATTTCCAGGCTAAGGTCTAAAGGAATTAGAAAGGAGTAACCAGGCAATATTCTTTTGCCAAGTGATGAAGAACATCTCGTCGAGTAATGAGGAATATCCCAACAAGTGATGAAGGATCCGCTGCCACCAAAAAATCGTTTTGTGTATAGTGTCACGTCCTGAGAGGCCCTGATAGGTCGGACGGGGCCGAAATCAGCAGGACCTTGGTTATTACACTTACACGTTGCTTGTGGGTTCTTTTCCATGCAGTTAAGAGAATAAAACCTCAGGATTAGGTACTGCGGTAATAATGGGTGATAGAAATGTTAAGATGATTTTTTATTTTGAGGAAAGATTTGAATTTAGGAACAAGGAGTAGGAGTAAGAACAAAGATCATCCTTATCGTATCAACATACATACAACTGCGATTTATTTACAAATTTTGTATACACAAACCCATTTCAGAATTTGTTTTATGGAGTGCGATACGCGATTATAGTGACAAGAATTACATTGTTCGTAAAATGGCGAATTGCTCAGGCGCTAAGCAATTCTCAACAAGTGCTAAGCCAACCCTAAGCAAGTGCCTAGGTAACTAGGTCTGAATAAGTGCGCAAGATTTTCGTTGTTCGGGTTTTTATATGTTTGCAAAAATACAGGGGTGACCTAAATTCCAATGTTGTGATTCTATAGATTTGAATAAAGTTCATTACCAAACATCTTTGACACAGTTTATCGATGTTAGCCTACTTTCTCCTGTGAGTCAGCTATAACTCGTATTTAAAATCTTCTAGTTGTCCTTGACATAGTTTTCTACTGATTAGCTTGGCCTACATTCGCTGTGAGTCATATGAGAATATTATGGCGGCCTTGATATTTAATACTGGCCTACTTTCACTTATTGACTAACCATGATTCATACTCACGATTATTCGGTCGATCTTTTTGCTTTCAGAGTTATACTTGGTTATAATCTTTATATAAACAAAACATACCGTTTGCTCATTTATAAACATTTTTAAATATTGATCTTTATGATGTTGCTTTTAGATATACTTTACAATAATAATAATAATAATAATGATATTGATTACATTGTCATATAGTTAGTATATCTAAAATATACCAGTATAACTCTCTTTACATATGTAATACATTATTTATTAAATGTCAGATACAAATAGCGATTGATTAAATTATTAGAGTTAGTTTCCATGAATATTAATATTTTATGATTTTATTGCAGCCATAGATTTAACATTAATGATAAAATATTATAGAAGCAACAATTATAAGCATAGGTTTAGGATGAAGTTTTCTAAAAGTTAAACCAGCTTATACAGGGGAATTTACTGCTGAACTGATTTAGCTTTTTCAGGTAAGTATATAAGCAAATTTTTAATTATCCAAATATCTTCTAAACGATAGGAGTTAGGTAGATAGGTATAGAGTAAATTACAGGATTTCCAATGTAGTATTCAATTCCTTCATAATATTTAATTGTTTATATAATAATTTATAATTTATTTATTTATAATTTTTGTTAAATAACATTTAAATCGTAGAATTTCCTTTCTAAGACATAATATGTTTCTATTGAGGTTTTTTACATGATTCTATAAAGAAAACTGTATCTTATAAAAAACCGTGTATATATATATATATATGTATATATATATATATATATATATATATA